ACCGGCCCATGCTAAGAGGCTGATTTCAGACTGCTGATTTCAGACGAAGCTGATTTCAGACTGCTGATTTCAGACGAAGCTGATTTCAGACAAGATCCTTTTCCGTCCCCGACACGGAAGAATGGAGTGCAGGGACTGGCTTGCCAGACCGGCACATGCTAAGAGGCTGAGTCACCCAGGAAAGGGATTCGCAGCAGCTCAGAGGTTTCGCAATAAGACAGGTGTCAAAGTTATTGCTCTCCAGCATTTCCCCAAAACTCTTAAGGATATGTCATGCTCCACAGACATATGTTCTCTCGCAGACGCTTGGCATTGACCACGGCAACGGCATTCTGCGAAGTTGTCGTCACCAAAGCAAACCATTCCGCCCGCTTGGTGTCCTCATCTGCTATGCCACTGAGCGCCATAGCAAACGACAGGAGGCTGTAGGCACAACACTTTGGCAGAGGAACCTGCCTCGTCTTGTAGCGGTCAATGACCGCAAACGCTCGGGACAAGAATTCGTAAGCCGCCACTCTCCCATACAGTGCTTTCAGAGGACTCAGTAGTGTCTCGACCTTGTCGCTGAAGTCTTCGTACTCGTCCTGCAGGTCCTGGTCGCCCGAAGGCGAGGGCACAGGCGCAAAGGAAGGCGTGGGCATTGGCATCATCTCCTGGCTTGCTTTTGACTCAAGCGAAGCCGAGGGCGAAGGCGCTGAAGATGGCAGGGGCAAGGACGAGGGCGAGGGCACGCCGCTACCAGCATCAGACACGGCAGCAGTTGAAGCTGCCTGCTTCATCTCAGAAGCAGGACCACGAGCACCGGCAGCCTCACGTTTAGCATCTGAAGAAGCTCGCCGCTTGTTGTGTCGGCCACGCCTGCTGGATCTGCAGCCCATGCAAACATTTTCAGGTGGTCTGCGAGATGTGTATTCACCGCACCGGTTTTTGCAGAGCCAGGGCATGGCAAGCAAGAGTAGAGTAGCGGTGTTATTAAATGTGCTATTGGTAGTACTATTATTGACCAGTGTTAGAACCAGAAACTCACTTTTTGGGTATAGTCTATACCGACTTGATACACTTCCTGTATCAGAGTAGAGTCATTCAATCTTTGGTACAGAATTACAGAACCTATACTGGCTTAATCGAGTTTGTGTACTAGATTGATAGACTTCCTGGATCAAAGTTGAGTTCATCAGGTAAGAAAGAGTGAGTTACAGGAGCTACAGCACCTCAAGAACCAAGCGTTGAGCTTCTCTCGGAGTACACTATTCCACACACCAGTAGCTCCGCGAGCTACGTTTGCACCTTTCTCTAGGTAGTTGATATGCACTGCGAATGCTTGGAATCCAAGAAAAACAAGGGTGCGAATTGTAATTTCCCATAGTATATGTATTTCCCAACGACGTGCGAGTTGTCATTTCCCATAGGATTTGTGGGCTTGGAATCCAAGAAAAACAAGGGTGCGAATTGTAATTTCCCATAGGATATGTATTTCCAAACAACGTGCGAGTTGTCATTTCCCATAGGATTTGTGGGCTTGGAATCCAAGAAAAACACAGGTGCGAATTGTAATTTCCCATGTACCCCTGCAGCAAGCCTGATCGCAGACGAATGCAAGCAGATTTTTAGTCTGGCACACGGTGGCACACGATGGAAGCTTGTTTCTCCAGCTGCACTCACTCAGCTCGGTGTTCATTGCCTCTGCGTCATCGAGGACCTCCACGGTACAGAAGCAATGGCACGCTTTCGGGACCAGGCCACTCATCTGAATCCGCTGCATATACGGCCACCGTCCAACGAGTGTAGCCCAGGTGGCGAGCGAACGTGGCCACTAATGCACGAGCAAAAGCACGTGCCTTCTTGAAGCGACGGAATGGTATAGCGAAATTACGGGGGTGCAGAATATCGGTGTCGAAGCGTGCCAGAATCACAAGGAACCGAGTCATGGCTTGACGGCTTGCTCTGCCTGTCCTAATACGCAGCACACATGCAGCGGCATACAAGAATAAAGACGGCATGTATGCATGTTACATGTTGCATTGCATTGCATGGCCCAAACATGGCTGACATGCTGACATGTGACATAACATTGCTCGTGTGCTCGCCCTGTGTTTGTTCACGAAGGGACCGGGAAAGGGACCCTACATGGACGGACCATGGATTATGGAGCAGTGAGCAGCACCGGCAGCGGCACCGCATCGCCCCGGAACACAGAGCTGAAGCGGCGAACGAAAAAGTCAAGCTTGCAAGCCAGCTCATACCGTGACTCATGCCGGACTCATGCCGTATACAACAATGTATTAATGTATTAGGCAACCGGCAGCCGCGACCAATATCGAACAACGACAATGAACGACTGGTTGCAGAGCACTCGTTTTATCCTTTGACGACGGTCCGGACATGCCTACAAAATCCACAGCCACAGCAGCCACAACCTCACCGGAGAGCTCGGCCGGCTTTGCGTTGTATGCCATAGCGGACATCGCGGATGGTCTTCCACACGTCAGGCGTTGATGTCGTGTCTGTAGAGGGTCTCGAGTGCCGTCCCGCCCCATCGTTCGTTGAGGAAGTGGGCTTGGAATCCAAGAAAAACAAGGGTGCGAATTGTTATTTCCCATAGGATATGTATTTCCAAACAACGTGCGAGTTGTCATTTCCCATAGGATTTGTGGGCTTGGAATCCAAGAAAAACACAGGTGCGAATTGTAATTTCCCATAGGATTTGTGCTTGGAATCCAAGAAAAACAAGGGTGCGAATTGTAATTTCCCATAGGATATGTATTTCCCAACGACGTGCGAGTTGTCATTTCCATAGGATTTGTGGGCTTGGAATCCAAGAAAAACAAGGGTGCGAATTGTAATTTCCCATAGGATATGTATTTCCAAACAACGTGCGAGTTGTCATTTCCCATAGGATTTGTGGGCTTGGAATCCAAGAAAAACACAGGTGCGAATTGTAATTTCCCATAGGATTTGTGCTTGGAATCCAAGAAAAACAAGGGTGCGAATTGTAATTTCCCATAGGATATGTATTTCCCAACGACGTGCGAGTTGTCATTTCCCATAGGATTTGTGGGCTTGGAATCCAAGAAAAACAAGGGTGCGAATTGTAATTTCCCATAGGATATGTATTTCCAAACAACGTGCGAGTTGTCATTTCCCATAGGATTTGTGGGCTTGGAATCCAAGAAAAACACAGGTGCGAATTGTAATTTCCCATAGGATTTGTGCTTGGAATCCAAGAAAAACAAGGGTGCGAATTGTAATTTCCCATAGGATATGTATTTCCCAACGACGTGCGAGTTGTCATTTCCCATAGGATTTGTGGGCTTGGAATCCAAGAAAAACAAGGGTGCGAATTGTAATTTCCCATAGGATATGTATTTCCAAACAACGTGCGAGTTGTCATTTCCCATAGGATTTGTGGGCTTGGAATCCAAGAAAAACACAGGTGCGAATTGTAATTTCCCATAGGATTTGTGCTTGGAATCCAAGAAAAACAAGGGTGCGAATTGTAATTTCCCATAGGATATGTATTTCCCAACGACGTGCGAGTTGTCATTTCCCATAGGATTTGTGGCTTGGAATCCAAGAAAAACAAGGGTGCGAATTGTAATTTCCCATAGGATATGTATTTCCAAACAACGTGCGAGTTGTCATTTCCCATAGGATTTGTGGGCTTGGAATCCAAGAAAAACACAGGTGCGAATTGTAATTTCCCATAGGATTTGTGCTTGGAATCCAAGAAAAACAAGGGTGCGAATTGTAATTTCCCATAGGATATGTATTTCCAAACACGTGCGAGTTGTCATTTCCCATAGGATTTGTGGGCTTGGAATCCAAGAAAAACACGGGCGCGAATTGTAATTTCCCATAGGATATGTATTTCCAAACGACGTGTGAGTTGTCATTTCCCATAGGATTGTGGGCTTGGAATCAAGAAAACAAGGGTGGAGAGTTGTCATTTCCCATAGGATTTGTGGGCTTGGAATCCAAGAAAAACAAGGGTGCGAATTGTAATTTCCCATAGGATATGTATTTCCGAACGACGTGCGAGTTGTCATTTCCCATAGGATTTGTGGGCTTGGAATCCAAGAAAAACAAGGGTGCGAATTGTAATTTCCCATAGGATATGTATTTCCAAACAAGGTGCGAGTTGTCATTTCCCATAGGATTTGTGGGCTTGGAATCCAAGAAAAACACAGGGGCGAATTGTAATTTCCCATAGGATTTGTGCTTGGAATCCAAGAAAAACAAGGGTGCGAATTGTAATTTCCCATAGGATATGTATTTCCCAACGACGTGCGAGTTGTCATTTCCCATAGGATTTGTGGGCTTGGAATCCAAGAAAAACACGGGTGCGAATTGTAATTTCCCATAGGATATGTATTTCCAAACGACGTGCGAGTTGTCATTTCCCATAGGATTTGTGGGCTTGGAATCCAAGCAAAACACAGGTGCGAATTGTAATTTCCCATAGGATTTGTGCTTGGAATCCAAGAAAAACAAGGGTGCGAATTGTAATTTCCCATAGGATATGTATTTCCCAACGATGTGCGAGTTGTCATTTCCCATAGGATTTGTGGGCTTGGAATCCAAGAAAAACA